GCTGCGCATAGAACGCTTCTTTCTCGTCGTCGGGTCTCCCTTCGTGTGGGCAGTGCACGTTGATGATGCTGTAGTTGAAGAAACGGCCCTTAATCCTCAACTTGCACATCCTCGCGTTGATCGGCTGCCAACCAATCACGCGTTGGCGCATCTTACCCAGCACTACAAAGCCGGTTCCCAGCTCGTTGGTGGTGCCACAGCTCTGGTAGAAAGTAGCCGCTCGATGCCCGCTTTTCCATACCTTTTGTCCCGTCCAGCAAAGTTCCTGCAGTGCTACGACTTCGAAGTTGCGTGGTTGAAGTTCGTCATAGATTAACCTATCGCAACCCGGGAAGCCGAGCGATTTGCAGTTCCATGTTCCGAGTTTCCAATCGTAGTCCTTATTTCGTCGCGTAGGTCTGTGCCGATTGTTCCGATCCGTATTTCTTTCTTCGGTATTTGCAACTTTGTTTTTTTTCCAGGGCGGCTTGTTGGGCCTGCCCCAACCCCCTGTCTCGCCGGGGGACCATCGTGCACAGCTCTGTTTAGAGTCCCACGCTGGCACTAGGACGGTGATCAGCCGCTCCTAACATGGAGAACAGACGCCGTTTTGAGCCGCACCTCCATGGTGAGCAGACGCTCAGGTTTGGTGAAGCATTTCCTCTATCACCGTACTATGGTTACCGCGCCAGTGTTCGCGTCGCACCTCTTCACTTTGCTATTGCCGGACTGGCAACATTGCCCAGGCTACGCCAACCAGCTGTGTCCATGTTTCAGCTGGTAGTCTTTTGTTATCATATGACTCGAGGAGGCGTGAAGTAGGAACTTGTGAGGACCAGGGCTAGGTATTCCGCTCCTTCCAGGTTGTCAACTCACCATTTTGTAGCCCATATGTTAAGGCCTATATGTTAAGGGATATAATTTAGCAAACTTAATAAAAGTTCCGAGACCTTGTTTTATTTCAGAGCCTTGATGTTAAGGGGTTAATTTCAGGAAATTTCATTAGCTTGGGGCAAATCGTAAAAGATTAATTGACTTGGAATAGTTCAGTGACTTCCGTAGAAGTTCAGGAAATTTTAGTAAAACATAAGAGACCTTTGCGGAGAGTCAACAAAATTCCTAAAAAATCTAGGAACTTTGTAGATGAGCAGTGAACTTTGCATCACACGAGATTGAATGTGGAGCGATACAGACAAGCACGGAACAGACAAAACTCGGGGTTTCGAAGGAAGAAGCATTTGCAGGAAGACCGAGATCGCGAGGCGATGGAAAATCTGTACCGCGTAAACGAGAAAGTTCTACGAGAAGCTAAATAGTTCGCGCAAAGGCTACGTGCCGCAAGCCGATATGTGCAAGGACTTGGACGGTAACCTTCTCACGAACGAGTGTGAGATGATTGAGAGATGGTACCAGTATGTACTATGACGAGCACCTCAACGGTGATGCAGCAGAAAACGAAGGTGGCACGGCAACAGAGCTTGGGGCACGCACAGAAGACGACATGCTACGGGCCCCTGATTTTCAAGAAGTTGAGGAGGAGATCGGTCGGCTGAAGAACAACAAAGTGGCTGATGTAGATCAACTACCAAGTGAGCTATTAAAATACGGTGGTGAAGCACTGGCTAGAGTGCAGCACTGGGTAATTACCAAGATTTGGGAGGAGGAGATATTACCGGAGGAGTGCATGGAAGGTGTCGTATGCCCAATCTACAAAAAGGGTGACAAGTTGGATTTCTGCAACTACCGCAACCAAATCACACTGCTGAGTGCCGCCTACAAGGTACTCTCCCAAATTCTATGCTGCCGCCTGTCACCATTTGCACACTTACACAATTCGTAGGGCAATACTAGGTTCTGCAAAAATGCCGCGAATACAACGTGCCAACACATCATTTGTTCATCGATTTCAAATCCGCATACGACACAATCGATCGAGATAAGTTATGGCAGATTATGCACGAGTACGTATTTCCAGATAAACTGACGCGATTGGTCAAGGCGACGATGGATCGAGTGACGTGCGTTGTTCGAGTATCGAGGACACTCTCGAGTCCCTTTGAATCTCGAAGGGAGTTAGGGCAAGGTGATGGACTTTCGTGTCTGCTATTCAACATCGCGTTAGAAGGTGTGATCAGAAGAGCTGGGATAGACACGAGTGGAACGATCTTCAGGAAGTCCATCCAGCTTCTTGGCTTCGCCGATGACATCGACATCATGGCACGGAACTTTGAGACGATGGTGGAAACGTACATCAGACTGAAGGCTGAAGCTAGGTGGATTGGACTTGCCATCAACGTATCAAAGGCGTGTATAAGAGGCAGAGGTTCTGGAGAAGACAATGTTAGCCTCCCAGAGTTCAGATTGACGGTGACGAAATCGAGGTGCTTGACGTGTATTTGGGTTCACTGGTGACCGCCGAAAATGATACCAGCAGATAAATTCAAAGACGCATTATGGCAGGGAATCGTGCCTACTTTGGACCCCGGAGGACGCTCCGATCGAATAAAATTCGCCGCGGCACGAAGTTGACTATCTACAAGACGCTGATTGGTCTCGTGGTGCTTTGAACGTGTTTGGCACGTTGTAAGAATGCCGCACGACGACCCAGTGGAAATAGTTCTAGAAAGCGACCCAACAGGAACAAGAAGAGGAGGCGTGCAGCGGGCGTGGATCAACCAAGTGGAAGGCGACCTACGGACCCTTCGCAGAGTACGAGGCTGGTGACATGTGGCCATGGATCGAGTAGAGTGGAGACGACTTCTTCGGACAGCAGAGGACAACAAGGCCTTAGGATGATTGGTAAGGTAAGTAAGGGAATCCAGATCGAGCCACCTGCAGCGTACACACCGCAGCAAAACGGGGTGTTCGAACAGTTCAATCGGACGATTGTCGAGAAGGTTCGAACGATGCTGACAGAATCTTAAGCTCCGAAGACTCTTAGGAACGAAACAGTTCGGCGGTTTACTTGACTAATAGAAGTTCAACCAATGCTTTACCCTGTCGTAAAACTCCTGCAAAGATGTGGACTGGTGACACACCATATTTGAGCAAACTACGTATGTTTGGCGACGAATCTCCGCCGTTTGATTTCCAAGCTCAAGGCGAAGATGAAGAAGCGAGACCTTCTGAACCGAAGATGAAAACAACGAGTTTGTTGAATTCGGAGCGCTCACTTCGCAAATAGACTGTGGTTCAAACCTCGAAATGGTAACCACGGGGCGAGGCGAAAGGGAGCGCATGCTCCCCGGTCAGTTGAAACATTTTATAATTTGAAAAGTTTTCACTGCCGCGCAATCCAAATCTGCAGATACTAAAAATAATGAATGCTCGACCAATTCCGAAGGTCCGATGATACGAGGATGAGGCCGCGCGTTTGATCATTGATGTTCCTGAAGCGTACAACGACATTGCTGGACGCACTGATGAAGACCGTGTATGGTGACTAGTAGACCATCCCACTGGTGTGGTTCCTATAAATTCGAAATGAGTGTTCCGAATCAAGCAAGATGAAAATGGAAAACCTGTGCGATACAAGGCTCGTTTGGTTGCCAAGGGTTTCCTGCAGAAGGCCGGAGTCGATTTCGGTGAAACCAATTCCCCCGTTGCGAAGTTGGCGACCATACGGACAGTTCTAGCTGTAGCAGTCCGTCGAAAGATGTTTGTACGCCAACTAGATGTGAAGACCGCATTCCTCTATGGTGAACTAGAAGAAAACATTTACTTGGCCATATCTGAAGGAGTAACCGCACCATTAAATTGTGTTTGCAAGCTGACGAGATCGCTATATGGCCTGAACTGAATGATCTTCTCCTGAATTTTGGCTTCACTCGTTCTCGTCATGACTACTGTATGTACACCAGGATTGACGATCGAGAGGGATATACATCATCGTCTATGTTGATAACTTGCTCATCGTTCGCGATCGGCTGGAACTAGCGAAGCAAATGCAAACTTCCCCTATCCAAGAAACTGCAGATGACAGACTGCGGCACCGTAAATCACTTCCTAGGAATCAAGGTATGCTATGATCAAAACGGTGGTAGTATGTCACTCAATCAAGAAGTTTACGTGGATCGTGTTTTGGAAAAGTTTGGAATGCAGGACTGCAACCACGTCAAGACACCGATGAAAAATACAGCTTTCTCTCTGTACAAACTGAGAGTGCTGTTATCCATCCGTACCGTGAATTGCTGGGAAGCCTGATGTACACAATGCTGTGTGTTTGACCTGCCATATGCTATGATGTTGGATACTTAGGGCGTTTCCAAAGTCAATCTGGCGAAATTCACTGGCACGAACTGAAGAGAGTAGGCAGGTATTTCAAGGGTACGAAGAATCTGACGCTTCAAGCGTTTCAATGACGTCGAATCTTTGATCGGATACGCTGACGCCGACTGGGCGTCCGATCTAAGGATCGAAAATCCGTTAGTGGCTTCGTGTTCAAGGTTTTTGGTAATACCGTATGCTGCTTTAAGCTTGCTGCTTCCGGAGGGTTATTGCTGAAAGGAATCCCCGATGACCTGAAGCAAATCCAACCTGATGAAGCCTTGATGTTTGAAGACAATCGTGGCTGTTAGCCATGGCCTCCAATGCCGAAACAAACGAGTGAAGCACATCGACGTCAAACACCATTTTTAGAGACCATGTTGACCAAGGAAGACTCAAGATTGAAACAATCGGAACAGCAAACCCGTTCGCAAAAGCTCTGGAAGTTGGACGTCTCCGAGAATTAAGGACCCTCCTATGGCTAACCGATTGGAATAATAAAAAAATATCCCAGTAAGCGACTATTACTCTACAAATATCAAAACTAACGAATCTTTTTCTCATCAAATCACGTATCACATTTCCTTCGGTGTATTAATTCCGTGTACTCTCTGCGAGGTTCGTGTCTCGACCAATTCCCACCGTTTCCGCAGCGTGGCGCTCGCATCACTTAGAACAGTTATCCGCATTTCTCTCACAAATTCTCTCACACTCACTCTCTCCCTCTCTCTCTCTCTGTATTTCCTTCGTTTCAGATTCTCCTGTGGGCCAAACCGGACGCCAGCACGTGTCGCACGCCGTATGAGTGGGCCTGTGGGCGGTTCGAGGAAAAGTACATCGCCCACAGCTTGTTCGGTGTGAACAAGGGCGAGTGGAACTTTGATGCCTACCAGGACTATGAAGGTTAGTTTTAGCTTTATTTTCTATTGGTGAAGATTTTTCGAAACGGTTCTTTTTTTTTTTTTTTCAGAAACCACCGCCGTTTACGAGTTTATCTCCAAGCTGCCATCGGTTGCGGTGACCTACTCGACCCAAGCGATGATCAAGAAGTTGCACTCGATCTGTACCACGGTGGAAACGGTTAGCAACAACGAAGTGATTACGTCGCTCAAAAGAGCCCTCAACGATTTGGGTGAGTTCAGAATAGTACAAATGGGATTGCTTAAAATCGTAAATTTTCGTTTATTTGCGATCGGTTTTTTTTTCTTTATGGTACAAAGTTGGCTTCTTGGAAAGAGTTGTACGAACGTTTTTCGTACGCCTATTATCTTCTTCGCTTGTGTTCCTATCCTAAGGGAAAATAAATCTACTTTATCTTAGTTGGAATCCTATAATGATACATTCTTAGCTAGCCGTCGTCATTATCCAAACCGTTCAACCGAGTCTCGTTTATCACATGTTCAAAAGGTTTACGTCTGTTATAGTGCTTTGTACTTGTCCGCGACCCTAAAGGCTCTTAGTAGTTCGGCGATGTGTTGTAGCTACGGCTGAACGAGTTCGATCCGGCCGAAGAGCCGGAGTTGCCGAATCCACTGCCAAAGCTAGAAGAATCAGCACCGCTGAAACCGCTGGCGCCACCGAATCCGCTAGCACCACCAAATCCGCTATCGCTGGCTCCGCTGAATCCGGAAGATCCGCTGTTGTAGGTGGTAACTCCGGAATTGCCGAAGGCTCCAGAGGAACCACTACCGAATCCAGACGCTCCAGAGGCACCACCACCGAATCCAGAGGCACCACCACCGAATCTAGAAACACCACCACCGAATCCGGAGGCACCACCACCGAATCCAGAGGCACCACCACCGAATCCGGAGGCACCACCACCGAATGCAGAAGCACCACTGAATGCAGAAGCACCAGCAGTGGCTGCAGCTCTAGCGCCAGCGTTCTTGCCCTGATATTTGATGAAGTAGACTTCCGGCTTGGCACTGTTGTAGGTATCGACGGCGGCATCGGCGGCAGACTGGGCTCCGGCTTCTGGCTTGTTGACCAAAACGTAGACAATAGTCTTCTCCTGGGTACGGGTACGAGCGGCGGCACGGGCAGCGGCACTAGCGGATGCACTCGGGGCCTTGATGAACAGAACCTTGTAGTGGGTCTGGGGTTGGATTTCGACACGGGCTTCAGCTTCAGCGTTAGCTTCGGCTTCAGGGGCGACGTGGTAGTAGAAGTGTTTCTTGACAATCTGTTTTTCGAAGAAGGAAAGCGATAAAGTAGAAAGCTTTTTTTCTGGAATAGTGTATGAGCATTTGATAGTTACCTCAGGCTTGACGACATAACGGACTTGAGCTCCTGCAGAGGCACGAGCAGAGGCACCACCGAAAGCTCCGGCACCACCGAAACCAGAAGCTCCGGCGCCACCGAAGGCACTAGCACCACCGAAAGCGGAAGATCTGGCTCCAGCACCGCTGAACGATCCACCACTGCTGCCGCCACCGAATCCTGCACCGCTACCACCGAAGGATCCAGACGAAGCACCAGACTGCAAAATACGACGGAACGGTTCAAAACTCCACCACCGCTCTAAGGCAATCAAGATGATCGTGAACTTACCGAACTGAATCCACCTGAGGAGCCACCAAGCACGGTCTGATCGTATGCCACTGGTGAATAGTCAACGGTGACTGCCCGGGATCCGGCACTGGCTCCGGAGAATGAGTTACCGCCTTGGAAGAACTGGGCGGAAGCTACCGCAAGGCATGCGGACAAAAGCTGAAAAGATACGTACACAAAAAAGGGATCAAGGCGTGCCAAGGGTTTGTAGCTTCAAATTCACTGCATCCATTTCCAGGTACAGCATTCACATTTGTTCACTTCTCCTTCGAGTGTTGGATCACAAATTCAAGAACCACAATTGATGACACCAGCTTCGCCGAAGAAGCACTATTATTCATCCCTGAGTTTAGACCAATCCTCTCACTCCGCCAGGGGAGGGGGAACTCACCACGAATGCACGCATCTCGAATATTTCACTGCTGCGGTTAGTCCTGTAGAACTGAAGAATCGATCCTGACTGAATTAGAACGGGGACACCTGGTGGCTTTTATACCGCCTCCGATGGGAAGAAGTTTTCCTCCAAAACGGCGGTGTTGCACCCTTGGAAAGTCTCTAATCGAAAATAAAGTTTTTATGGCTCCGAAATCCACCTTCTTCTCGTTCGCATGTTCACAGCTCTTGCTAAAATCTCTTCTTTCTGTTTTCGGACATCCTTGAGCCGGTTTTGTTTTTTTATATTTTTATTAGAGATGGGAACTGGAGAAGGTGCGCGACTGCATTTGTTGTTTTTCGTTTCTTGCGTTTTTGGGGGTTTCTGCCTACGAATTGAATTATCTTGACACTTTCGCGTTTTCGCGAAATTTAGAATAAGCATTCCACTGTTTGTCCAATGTCAAGTTGGAAGATGCAGCGAATGCAGCGGAGACAAATGCAAATGCACCGACTGGAACCTGTTTGTTGGAGACAGTTTTTTTTTTCTTCTTCTTTGATTCGTTAATGTGGATGTTCATTTTAGGGGAAAGTGGGGCAGTTTGGCCACCTTAAGAAAATCATCACTAATCGTACAAAGTTCAGTGGAAAATTCGAAAGATGTTTAATCAAATGGATAGGTCAAGCCCTTTTTACACCATGAATACAAATGGAATGTTAAAAGTAAACTTTTGAATTTTATGAAAGAATGTTCGCTTCGTAATTATTTTCTGTATAATAAATTAAATTTTGAGATGTACTGCCTATTAAGGCTATATTTGTTCAGTCTTGTGAATGACTGATTTTGTACCAAAGCAGCTGCTTCAAAACGCGATTTCATAAGGTGCAGTCATATTTATAAAATGAATAATGGAAAATTGAACAATTTAAGTTGAAATATCAGTGGTCCTCATATTGGCCCGAATGGACTTAAGTAATATTTTGTTAAGATTTTTTTTAATGTTTATTAAAAACTAGAAAAACATCGTGTCATATAAGTAACCAATGAAAATTGATAAAGCTGCTGAAGAAATATTTACGATACGTTATAAGAAATTACCTATAGACCATATTTTCTGATTCAGAAATCTTATAAATTTTTTGACATTTTGAGCTAGTCTAACTTTTTTCGAATATTTTCACTACAGAAAAATACTTTTTAGACTAAAATTAAATGGGCAGTTCAAGTAAGCCTGCATCAGTTTTTTTGCAAAAATATGTTCAATATGTTGATTTTTAAGCGGGTGGCCATATGCCCCACTTTCCCCTACAGTAAAACTGTGAAAGGTATCAAAGTTTGGATTTTTGAGCATTGAAATTGCCATCTTGTTTTGCTTTTTTGTTTCCTCAAAAACCCCAGTTTTCTGAAGTCAATGATGCTTGCTTCATAGTTCCAAAGGTTAAATTCCTAAACGGAATTCGTCCATTTTGACTCTTGCCTCATTTTTCAATTGGTTGTGTTCGATATTTTTCAATTGCCGTGTCTATCGAATATAGTAATCACTCAAAGAGCGCGGTTAATCGGGAACGCGCAAATGGAAACCGCGTAAATCGGCCGCCCATATTTTACACCAATAGAAAAAAATAAAATTCACCCTAAAAACGAAGACAACATATCAAGAAGACTGGCAACTCTTCCATTTTCTTAAACGAAATGCTTCGAACGATTTGATAGCAAATGTTACAACCTCAGAAGAAAGGTTTGTGTATTTGCTCATTTTTCTATGTATTACTTCCACCTTCACTCGACCGCAGCGCTACTGTATCTGTAGCTTGGATTCTGGCCGAGTTGCCAGTTTTCTTGATTTGATTTCTTCGCTAAAAATCAACAACTGACCCATAAAAAACAGGCAGATGTGCCAATATTTAATTTTCAAATTCAAAAATTGTGGCACTTCTAAAATTCCTAGGGTCTGTAAATTATTTTGATTGTAAAAAGATTAAAAATAGGGTCGTCTACTTTATTCGAAAGCAAAGTCGTTACACGTTTTTTTCAAAAGAAGTGTTTATGGGTTTTGCAAGTGGCCTAAGATCCATAAATTAGATTAATGGGCACAAATGTTCATAATTAACCAGAATACAGTTATGGTTCCTATATATGGATCATGAAGACAACGGAACGTCCTCCGGAAGATTCGGAACATCCGTAAAATTGGTTAATCCACGAAACTGATCCTAGAGTTCCACGGTTTTTTCGAAAACATTAGGAACTGTGATATAAGAAAGAATTTGGGTTCATGGACCTGGATGGCCATGGGAGCATGCTCAGGAAGATACGAAACATCTGTATTTCCATGAAACTGATCCTAGATCTCCTCCTCCGAAAGATCCAGAACATTCGTAAAAATGATTCATCCATGAAACTGATTCTAGAGCTCCGCGGTTTTTTTTCGAAAACACTAGGAACTATGATAATAATTTAGAGTCGTGAAATAAACATGGTCCCGGACGGCCATGAGACCGTCCTCTGGAAGATCCGAAAGATCCTTAAAAGTGATCCATCCATGAACCTGATCCTAGAGCTCCGCGTTTTTTTTTTAACACATGGAACTGTGATATAAAGGGTGATACGGTCAAAATTTGGTCAAGGGAAAACGCGTGTAAATCGGTGAAATCGTTTATTTAAAAAATCAAATTAATTTTCTTTTTCAATTAGTATAAAATTCAGGTAAAATATTCAGTTAGGCTTCCGCTTTTCCAAATCCGAATTGCCGGGCCTTACGCTTGACCCCTGCCATCAGATTTTGTACAGCCACTTTGTCCACCTTCTTCGCCGCAGAAAGCCAGTTTGCCTTGAACTGCTGCTCGCCCTTAACAGTTTTTTGGTCTTCTTTAGGTTCCGCTTGACAATAGCCCAGTATTTCTCAATTGGGCGGAGCTCTGGCGTGTTGGGAGGGTTCTTGTCCTTGGGAACCACCTGCACGTTGTTGGCGGCGTACCACTCCATGGCCTTTTTACCGTAATGGCAAGATGCCAAATCCGGCCAAAACAGTACGGAACAACCGTGTTTCTTCAGGAAAGGCAGCAGACGTTTATTCAAACACTCTTTCACGTAAATTTATTGGTTGACAGTCCCGGAAGCTATGAAAATGCTGCTTTTCAAGCCACAGGTACAGATGGCTTGCCAAACCAGATATTTCTTTGCGAACTTTGACAGTTTCATGTGCTTGAAAACATCTGCTACCTTTCCCCTTCCTTTTGCCGTATAAACTCCTGTCCCGGAAGCTGCTTGTAGTCGGCTTTGACGTAGGTTTCGTCGTCCATTACCACGCAGTCAAACTTCGTCAGCATCGTCGTGTACAGCCTCCGGGATCGCGCTTTGGCCGTCGTATTTTGTTTATCATCGCGATTTGGAGTCACTACCTTCTTGTAAGTCGATAGTCCGGCTCGTTTTTTGGCTCGATGCACGGTTGTAGACGATACACCCAGCTTATTTGCGGCATCTCGGAGAGAGAGGTTAGGGTTTCGCTTGAAACTACCGGCAACTCTCTTTGCCGTCTCAGCGGCTTCCGGTTTTCGATTTCCCCCCGATCCAGACTTCCTGGCTGTCGACAAACGTTCCCCAAACACTTTAATTACATTTGTAACGGTTGATTTGGCAACTTTTTAGCGATTTTGCCAACTTTGCGTGCGAGTAGCTCGGATTTTCGCGATGCGCGAGCAAAATTTTGATACGCTGCTCTTCTTGCTTGGACGGCATTTTGACAATTGAAGAGTGAATTCCAAAATCAAAATAGGAGCAACATTCTACACACACACACCTTCAAAATGAGGGGTGTTCAGGTTTTTTAAATGCAAAATTGAAAGAAATACGTCAAGTTGATATTGACCAAATTTTGACCGTATCACCCTTTAAGAAAAAAATCAGGGTCGTGACATAAACATGGACCCAGATGGCTATGGAACCGTCCTTCGGAAGATTCGGAGCATCGGTAAAATTAGTTTATCCATGAAACTGATTCTAGAGCTCAGTAGTTTTTTTTTTAATCACTTGGAACTGTGATATAAGAAAGAATTTGGGATCATGACATAAACCTGAACCTGGATGACCATAGGTCCATCCTCCGGAAAATCCGAAACATCCATGAAACTGATTCTAGAGCACCGTAGTTTATTTCAAAAAATATTAGGAACTGTGATATAGAATGAATTTGGGGTCGTGACACAAACATGGATCTGAATGGCCATTGGACCGTCATTCGGAAGATTCGGAATATCTGTCATACATGAAACGGTGAAAAAAACCGTGATTTTTTCGAAAACTTCACGATTCGAAGTGTTCTCGTGAAAACCGCAAAGTTTTAAAATCAGTATCATCGATGCACCACTTTTACGGATCTTCCAGAAGTGAAACCGCCTTCGGGTTCATGTTTATGTTACGGTCTCAAATTGCTTCTTATATCACAGTTCCACGTGTTTTCGAAAAAAAAACCGTGGAACTCATGGAGTTTTCTGGATTGACCATTTTACGGATGTTCCAGATCTTCCAGACGACGGTACCATGCCATGACCCCAAATTCTTACATCACAGTTCCTATTGTTTTTGAAAAAAACCGCGGAGCTCTAGGATCAGTTTCATAGATTGACCTCTTTTACGGATGTTCCGGACCTACCAGAAGACCATGGCCATCCGGGTCCATGACCCCAAATTCTTTATTATATCAGAGTTTCAAATGCTTTCGAAAAAAAAACGTAGAACTCTAGGATCAGTTTCGTGTATTGACCACTTTTACGGATGTTCCGGATCTTTCGGATGACAGTCTCATGGCTATCAGGGTCCATGTTTTTCACGACCCCAAATTCATTATATCATCACAGCTCCTAGTGTTTTTTTTTTCTAAAACTGCGGAGCTCTAGGATCTGTTTCATGAATTGACAACTTTTACGGATGTTCCGGATCTTTCGAGGACCGTTCCGTTATCTCCACGTTCCATATATAGGAACCATGATTGTATTCTGGCTAATTATGAACCCATTAATCTAAATTATGGATCTTAAGCCACTTGCAAAACCAATAAACACACCTAAAAAAAAAGAAAAGTGTAACGATTATTTTCGTTTTTGAAAAAAGTAGACGAACCTATTT